AGTAGAGGCGGACAGATTCATTTGTAGCTGCTGTAGCTGATCCACATGGGACCATCCTTACTGAAGTTTTTGTTAGACATGTCACGGTTGCAGTGTCCGAAGAAGCTGCCATCGCGCTATCTAATAACGGCTCCTCGCGGCCTTACGCCTACACCGACTCCAGATGAGCCATACGGGTCTTTCTATGTGGTCTCATCTTGAAAGAAGTGGCGGCTATAGTCAATCGAAGACCGCGTGATGTCTTTCACACTACTGTATGGTTCCCAGCGCACATTGTAATCAATGTACATCTTAGCAAATCCAACGCGAATGAACTAGTTCATGACCGAGCACGAGGTCGGACTTTCCACCATGGTCCCAATACGCTAGAAAATCTGCGTTTGGAGCATAAATCTGACCCATTACTCTCTATACATGAAATAGTGAAACACTATCAACTTGAGCGCAGAAAATTTCTGCTCCCGCATCCAAATCTGACAAGACCTCAATTTTCTACTCTCAGAATGTTACAACCGAGATCTTTCCCGCCGAGAAGAAGGTTCAGTATCTTTGCTTCGGGAATCGATCCACACTGCCCGGAGTGCCATGAAGAGTATTGCTCACTAGCTCACAAGCTCTGGCAATGTTCGGCGTTACAAAATGCATGAGAGCAAGGCCTCAGAAGCAGCCTTCTCGACAAACAACTAAGGGCTGTTCGAAGAGCCCACGTTGGGGTCGGAGGACCATGGTTTTCTGAACCCAACGTGGGCGTGGCCCACAACTACGACTGCGTAGTTCTTGAGGACCCAATGAAGTGTGTTGACTGAGTGACACGCAAACTGCTTCAACCCTACTCGGATCCGCAATTTTAGGGGCGAAGCTTCTTAGAGTGTGGTTCGTTACCTCATAATATTATGTTGTAGTAGCACTTTGTTGTGCTTGTTTGCTTTTAGCAATCGCTCATTAACTGGTGTTGTGTGAATATGTACTGCTTGTCGTGCGACTTGCAAGACGCTCCGTCGCTTTTTTGTGAAGCACGTGGGCCCTTCGTTGTCCAGGATATCTAGTAACGAGGAAAACAGCCAGGGGGACACTTTGCCAGGTGGTATCGACAGATACGATCCCTAAGTGGCACAAATATATAAAACAGATAGAGTGTGGGGGAGCAATCGACGTAGGCACGAGAAGCGAGCAAATTCAAAAATAAGTATGTTAACGTGCAGGGTGGCAGGAATAGGTTGAAGTAGGGAGAGATAGAAGAACAGCTGAGGGAGGATAAGCTGATTGTATATGACTTTGTAGAAACACGTATTAGAAACATGGAAGAATCACCTAGCAATCCCGACTACGCATGAGAATATTATAAAAGAGTAGGAGTCAGCAGAAAAGGGGGGGGGGGGTATTGGGGCATCTATTTATAAAATACAGACTTGCAAAGGGTCAATCAGCAGTGCAGGGAACATATATCTCTAAAAGGGAAAGTGGCAGGGCAGATCACACTCCTGGGTTTCGTATAGTTGTGGACAGGGACAGAAGCCAGAGAGGGAAACTAAGAAATGGCGCACTGCATCGCAAATGACAATAATGAACTAGAAGAAGAGTGCGAGGTAATTATGTTGGGAGATATGACTGCGGAAATAGAAGATATATATAGATATACTGACCCAGCAGAAAAAAAAATGCGAATGAATATGTGTGAAAGGCATAATTTTATCATTTGCAACAGTACCGAGATGAGCGAAGGGCAGATAGCATGGGAGGTGGGAAGGCTGCAGCCGACGATAGATTACGCAATGATGTCACATAAGATGTATGATCGGCTAAGGGTGATGAACATAGATGAGCATGAGTCGAGAAGCTCAGGTAGTGATCAGCGCTACGCTTCATCGCTCCGGCAGACGAGAGAGTTCCGGGGGAATGGGAAAAGCAACGGGGCCTCTGAGACGACTACGAAGCGATGGAATGCGTAGGCCAAACACGGCGTTCCTCTCGATCTATGTTAGGCGCGAATGCTCGGTTTCAGCGCGACTTCCAGTCTCCGTTGTTTGGACATCTGTGTCGCCTGTGTGAAAGTTTGCGGTTTGACCAGAACTTATCTGCGTTGACAAGCAACCTGCAAACAGTCTGGCAGCACCTAGCGGACTCGTATAGAAGTAGCCTAAAGGTGGCCTAGAAATGACATAGCATCACCTTGTTGTTTGACGCCTTTTGCGTCTTAGTGCCGTCTTCACCACTTCTATTAGAGCTAACCTTTTTTGCCTCACTTGTTTGCCGTGAGCACGGAAAGCACAATGCAGCAAAGCCAACCTACACAATAGGAGTATGCGCGCACTAACTAGAAATATGGCACACGACGCACGTATATCGTAGAACGCGAGAGCTCGCATTCGCACTTGTACTTAGAAAAACTACTTTCCACATAGTAGAACAATGGCTCACTACTTATGCACCGTAGAACACTGTAGTTTATATTTGCAGCATGTGCTAGTCACGCAATCCGCTCGCGGCCGTCACCGTAGGTGGGATGCAGTTGGAGCGCACGGTAAAACAGGCTGCCGTCCGCGAACATGCGCGCGCACGCCGTCATGTTCATAGCTATTATAAATTAGGCTGCATCATGCTAGGTCACCCTGTATCACTATACATTGTTAATGAAGGCGCTACAGAGAGCCATGATGCAATATTATTCCTTCAGTGGTATCACGTTTGCAAGGAGGCTGTATTACGTTACAGCGACAGAGATTTTGGCAGTCTGCCGGAGTAATAACAAAGACAATTCTTAGCAAGTATAGAATCGACCGTGAAAGCAGGAATGTGCGCGTTTAATGAATGGTTGAGTAATCTAAACTTGACGCTATGCAGCTTATTGATATGTGTTTTTTTTTAACTTGAACCTACAAAAATATCTTGCGGAACAAACAGTCAAATCACACGTGCGTCATAGTGGGTCAGTCGGCCTTTCTTAGATTTCTTTTGTGAACGCTAGCTTTGGAAAGATTCAATTTGGATGAGAGAAGGCTTGGCGTATAGCCATCTTTCTTTACGAATGTGTGAACTGAATCTGATGCGAACCGAAGGAATAAATTTACAGGCACTGCCTAGATGAAATCTCTTTGAGGTCGAGCTCAGTCCGGTATGCGACGTGAACACCCTTACTGTGCTCTCACGCCCCTCCCCTCCTACGTTCACTCCCCTTTGTCGTTCGTTTCGGCATCGCTGTCAGCGGCGTTAACACTCCCATTGCGCATGCACGTCCCCTTCCCCTCTCTCCCTATTCTTAGCTCTCTCTGTCTTGCCTTAGAAAGCCAACGCAGGCAGTGTCTGATAGCAGGTTTTTTTATTGAAAAAACTGACTGCTCCCACTGCACAACCATTCACTGGCCACTCCATATTTATATGGAGTGGCCAGTAAATCCCTCAATTCACTGGCTCGATTCACTGGTTCGAGCGATTCCCCAACCCAACTCATGAGAGACCATAACATACCAACCTTAGAACTAAGACGTAAAATCCAAAGATTAAAATTTCTTTATCTTCTCAAGAATAACAAATTGTCAATGAGACCAGAACAATACATCCAACCACTCACCACTCGCAGAACAAGACACCGGCATGCCGTCTCTCTAACGCCCTTCAATGCTAGAACTACCATTTTCAAATTCTCCTTTTTCCCGTGCACTGTAACCGAATGGAATCAATTACCAGCATTATTCATAAATAGCATAGACTCAATTGAATATTTTGTATCTTGACCTGCATTGTTAAAGTGTTAAATGTCTTTTTTATTCATTGTTTGAGTTATGTCCTTATTCTTCGCGCTTTTCATGTTCTTGATCTTCTGTTGTCGTTATTACAAGCTTGGTAAATACGTCCCTCCGGCTTGGGCTCTTCACTGGGCCTGCAATATTATGTAAATAAATAAATAAACAAAATAGACACTGTATCTTGGCCTCCAAGGTCGTGCCAGTGAGAGATTTTTCTTATGCTTTGTTGAACAATAAAAATTCGCAGCGTGCGCGTAAACTAATATAGGATTGCAGGTATCTGCGTCCAAACGGAGTTTTCTGTCTCTCATTGCCCATTAGTGGTGATTAACATGTTCCAGTAGGAAACAGCAGTCTATCACTGCGTGCATGGCGCATCCCCAGGTTTCCCTATTGCACAACGCCATATTCAGAGCCAGCGTCAACGTAGCCTCTAGTTTAAGCGTTAGCGTCCGCTGCTTCGCCTCTACGCATGGTTCCTTTCAAGGGGAGATGCCGTAATTTTTTTTCTTGTCGTTTCTCTGCCTCGCTTTTTCTTTATAGAATCAACTTTCACCCGATATGGAAGCTGTACGTTAAATACCGAACGCCGACGATTTGTTTTCTTTTCTCCCTCGGGTATTTTAATGGGATTTCATAATTGTGCTACTTGTATATGAAAATGTTATCATTGTGCATCCTGCTTATTTTACTCTATTGGAGTATACATATGTTATTTGTTATGCAGCGGTGTATGTTTGTGTACGCGTAGGGTAATGTGCACTTTTTTGTTTTTTTTCTCAATATATTTCTGATCTAGACAAAATACGGCTATTGACTGCAGCAATCAAACCACTACTTTCCAATAAAGGTAACACACGCTGTCAAATTCAGCTCCTGCAGAGTACTGTGAGGAATACACCTTCTCCCTTTTCATTTGCCTCTTTATGAGCACTGTCAGCAAAGGTTCTGCTTGGACATTGATATACTTTCAAGCCGCTCACAACGAGGTGGTGTTGAAGTTGTGGGCAATTTATGAGCTGTATACGGGCGTTGCGCTTCTTCGCCATGACACGCCGGGCCGACAGTTTTGAGCGCTTGACATTCTTAGTGCACGAGGGCACATGTACTGTATTTTAAGCGCACCCCGACGCAGGTGTCGCTCGTACCTCCACGAACAAACTTGCGCCTTTCTTTTTTTATTTTTCGTAATTTGCAACCTCTCCCTTACCCCTCGCCCTTTTTCTTGGTTCAGAAAGCCGCAGACGGAAAATGAAACCTTAGAGCATGTGACCGAACAGTTTCTCGCGCTGTGTTCTTATGCAATATTGGGATTCTAACGAGCTCTTGCTTGACGACGGTCATGGAAATCAACTTACGGTCATGGCTGGTGAATATATTAACTTCGTAGCTTAGCTACATCTGAAACTGCAAGCCACGGCCAGACATTTTGCGTTACTCCAGGTTTCCGAATGGTCCGAGAAGGTTGGGAAGTCCCAGGCCAAAAGGCTGTGGTTACATGGACTACCATCTGGATCGTTGCTCTTAATGCCGGTGAGTTTAGACTATAGTCCTTTAAGAGACAACTCGGTCTATACGGTAAGTGTAACATTTTTTTATGCTCACACTTTATTTACAATAACAGTAAAACATAATTACTCTCTCATAATAATAGCTCATGTTATGCATCTTGCAGTACTTACATCATAAAATGAACGAAATGAAAGAAATTATGGTGCATTACAGCGCACTGAAAAACACACACAATAGACGGAAGACAAACGATGACGAGGAGGGCACTTCGTCGTCGTTTGTGTTGCGCTCGCTGTGTGTTTTTCGCGCTGTAGTATGCCAAAATAATCAATTAATCAATCAATCAAAGAACTTTACTTTCACCAAAAACAAAAACATTTACGGTGAAAAAAGGTGGCCGGGAAAAAAGCTGTCCAATGACAGCTTGACAAAGCCCCAGCCCCCCATCGGTGGCGAAACGACAGGGTACAGCACCTGATAAAAGTGGGGAAAAATGCATAATATCAGTCTCTAAACAGTTTCAAATAGATAATGTTATCATAAATCTCTGCTCACCACCAGAGAGAAACCGACCGCCTTTTTGAAGATATTTTGGTTATTTCATCGTCCGTACTAAATTCAAGAACTGCATTGTACATGTAATTAAGGGCTCAATGTTGCCGCAATACGGTTGCCGCATTACATTAGATGGCAATCCCGCATATTGGGCAGTAGTGGTATTTATATACCAGGAAATAAGGATCTTATATTTTTGTGTAATCTTAATTTTGGTTTCCCATACAGTGAAAGCCTGGCGTTATGGCACGGAAGGTGAGTCCACTTTTTTATATTACCTTATTTTTCTATTCCCTTTATGTTGTAATCACTACGCTACTTTGGCATATCTACGTTAAAAACTCATACGGCAATCAGGAATAAAGCTGAAACGTGGAGGATGCTTGATCGAGTTTCGCCTTCAAGAGTATATCACAATAGCATATTCGAGACCCAGGTGCATTATTTTCTGAATTGTTAGTCTGGCTTCGCTCCTCGGTGAATGCCTCAACAGTGCCGTAAGGAAAGGAATCACTCTGCGTGTAACATGGGTAATTTGGGATCTTCTGAAAATGTCTCCTTCAAGTACAGTTGTTAAGGACCCTTTGTTACTTTGTTTGTAGCCTAGAATGCATGTCTCATACCCACTTTGGGTGATCAGCCAAGAGAACATAGTCTCATATGGGCATTAACTGCAGTATTGCTTACAAAAAAATGAAAGAAGTTGTAGAATGAAGACAGTATATAAAAAACAAAAAAAAACAGATTCAGAGAGTGAGAAAAACCCGTATGTACCATAGTTAGTTCTTTTGCGATTCAGCGAAAGGCCCACTACCTGCATGTAAGTAAGTACGCGAACCTACGCAACAGCTCAATTTGCTGATGCTTTTGCTGCTGGTGATGGTGCAATATGTCTGAGTGCTCTGTAATCGGTGTTCCTTTAAAGCACCCACTAGCTCTACAGTTCACCTGTTCTTATACGCGGCGTGGTGCTCTAGGTCTGCCTCGCAATATTTCATGCACTAAATATGCTGCCTTCAATACATGCAGTGTTGGTGCTAATGCGTTTCAAGTAACGCCGTTACCTGTAACTTAGTAACGTACGCTTTACAATTTCAGAAATGAAATAGACAACGTATTTACGATGAGATTTTCGGTAACGTATGATGTCCCGTTGCCCGTTTTTTTTTTATTTGTAGATTCGATTTTCCCAGAGACACCCCGACGAAGTCATTTGCCGCAGCGTCGGACTGCTGACTGCTTGCGAGGCATGGGCAAAAAAAGCCCGAGCGGCATCACTTTTTTGAGTGTGTGTGCAAATTGCGGGTGAAAATTTCTTTAGATGCACTGATTCAAGGCGGAGAAGGCTGCGCCATTGCCCCAAAAAGCTTGGAGAATATCTTTCAGTCCGCCATGAGAAAATGTACGGACAAGTTTGCGTGCAATCAGATTATAGCAGGTTTATAGCTGTCACCTGCGCTTTTTCGTGCCCAAAAGATAGGCTGTCAGAAGGAAAAGTGCGTGGTCCGGTTTACTCTTAGCACGTGCTGATTGTGCTGCTTCGTTCGCGGGGGAAGCAGCTGCTTGAATTTCCCAAAAACCTGCAGAAGGTTTCGTTGAAAAACGAGTACACTCGTTGAGCACAGCTTGGCGAACGACCACCGCATCAAATTTTACAATTCCCGCAATGTCAACTTAGAAGAAAGTTATTTTAAGCGTCTTTTGTGAATTTCTGGCCGATCCTGGAGACAGCATGCATGGTCACTATAACCGTTCTATATGCGCGCTGTAGATTCGAATATGCCACAAAGGAATTTCATACATCATGAAGAATAGGCGTGAGCCCACGGCAGGAAGAAAGGCGTCAGAAAGAATGCGACGTGCTAAACGTCCATATTTTTTTGCGCAAAAAATATACTTGGTGCATTGATTGGCATCCCCCAGCTTTAAAAAAATCCCATTCATACCGCTGTCACACGAACACTACGGCTACCCTTGCTTTACTTTCAGGCTCGAGAACAAGCGAGGCTGATTAAGTCATTTCTTTACTACTACAAATTTGTGCATCTACTTAACAAGTAGAAGCACGCTGTCAGAATAGATCTTTTGCACGTAGATAGTGCGCTCAGGCGCGACGGCGTCGGTTAGGCACGCACCAAGATATTCGCTGGCCAAAACAGGACGACAGGTGCGCACCAAGGAACGTCTGGTGTCACAAACGTGAATATGCCCCTCTCCTCCTTCAAAAAATAAAAATAAAAAGAAAGCGTGAGCAAAGGCCTCTGCGGCTGCCTACTAGCGCGCAGTGGACCATATGAGAAGCCAAAGACCACCAGTTTTGATTTCGACGAGCTCCACCGAAGGTGCTGTTCGGATCAGGAAAAGGTGTTAGTCAAATATTTTCGAGAGTTAAGTGATGTTTACTTTGTAGATAGCGTAAATTATTGAATCTCGTTTTTTGTGAAATGTCCTAGTGAGAAAGAATGGCTTAATCCTGCACTTGCCGGAGAGTCAGTAGCCTTTACTAGCAACTCTACAGGCATCTTTGTATATAATTGCCTAGGTGCAATATATTTGTTGAAATAATTCTCGTTAAATGAGCATTTTGGTAATATATTTGTCTGGGTTAATAGCTTAGCCTTCAACCCAATAGAAATTTAAAAAAATTCTTATTGTGGGTTCCTGCAGCAAAGGCACATCGTATAAAATATATAATTTGGGAGTAGCGGCAGAGGTAACATCCGTTACTTTTCGTTCGGTAATGGCAATGCGTTGCCTTTTCTTAGAGGTAACGTAATTAGGTAACGCATTACTATTAGAGACGATAGTCTTCAAGGGATACTTCAGCTTAAAAAAAAGGTCTGTCTGTCTTTCTGTCTGCCTGTTCTTTTGTTCGTCTGTTTGTCACGCGAAACGGCTCTAGTACGACCACATCCCCAGTGCCCACCAATATTGCTCTTGGTTCTGCGTTCATACTTATACGGTTGTCCATTAAAAAGCAAATATTGCGCGTATCTTAGGCACAATATCAACAAAATAATACTTTGTTGGTGTTTTTTATACTAGAAAAGGCATACATAAGTAATTCTACAACTGTAGTGTTTATTGTGCTGCGCTGGCAATGAGACGCTATGCACGAAAAGGCGTTTCCTACGCTTTGCAGGGGCATCATGGTGCTGCCACGTACCTCTAAATTTACAAAATACGGCCTCTAATATTGCGCTTACTATAACAAAGACAATTCTTTTGTTTTTCGCTTTCCGAAATTGCCGCAAGATGACGCTCATGTCTCCCGCAGCACCTCCAGAATCCCATTCACTGATTTTCTCTCGCAAACCTCCCCCCCCCCCCCCCCAAAAAAAATATTTTATTCACTCTCTTCACACCGAAGACTATCGTGTTTTGAGAACATTTTCCGTCAAACATGCATATATGGGGCCATTTTTTTGTTTGAGTAACCAGTAGCGTAATTATATACTTTTTTCAATAATGTATACATCTATAAATACATGACGCTCATATAGTGTTTCTTCGCGTTATAATTTCAGAAAATGGCGTGACTCTGTAGTAGAACACCTGATTTTCACGCGGGAGGCCTGGGTTCAATTCTCCCTCACACAGATAGTTTTTATAATTTATTTTATTTAGACCTGTCTTGACTATTAACTCCCAGACTGTGCTCATTTCTTACAAATTACAAACAGAACCTGCACCGACACCGACACAGGCATTTAGGTGAAACGAGCTCCTTAACCCTACAAAATTATTAGGTGTTTTCCTGTATCGGGAATAAATAAGTTGAAGGAAATCAACAAAAATGCTCGCTCTAATCTTGTATTTACAATAACGCCACTACTTTAATATACCTGCGCTTATCCACTTACCTACCATTTGCAGCTTTCGATAAGTGCATCATAGCGTAGCGAGAACTTAACGACTATACTTGCTGAAAGCAATACATAGAATCGTTTGAAACAGCTAATGTTGCTCGCACAGTTCTTTGTTTTTTTACAGCGTTGTTGAGGCATGCACCCAGAACCGAAGCTAGGCTACCATTTGAAAAGGTGACGTACGTGGCTCACCCGATTATGCTATCGCATTCTAAGTTTGAACGCGAAGCTTAAGCGTCTCCAAAGCTTCTACTTTGTACGCGTACGTTAGCAAAAATGTTCAACAGACACCAGCCACATCTATCAGATATATTAGTGAAACTGTATATGGCTAATCCATGACTCTCACCTGCGTGGAACTACTGACGTTCCTCTGAAATAGGGAAAACTCCACCACTCGCCACTTGCCGACAGAGAATGGCAAAGACTTTAAGGCAGGCAGGGGGAAGAAAACAAATAATGAACAACATGCTGGAAACGCAAAACGGAAGTGCTCAGCCCGGTGAAACAAAGCACGTTGCGGAAAAAACTTCTACTTCTATTACACTGCTACCAACAAACCTCAATAAACTTCATCAATTCAGAATTCATTTGGGGAGGTCGACGGATACGGAGTTGTACCCATGACACTGCTATTTCGCGCACTTTGAACGGAAGCCCCAACATTTCTTTACTATTATGTATTTGAACACTTAATTATATCCATACAGACCTATAGCGATCTCTCAAGTTTCTTATTGCGCAGCGCATGGTGCTCTTGCTTTCAAAAAAGTTTCATTCTTTCGATTATCTCTCGCTAAAGTTTTCCAATAAGTCATCTCCTATCAGTAGTACCATTATACAGCCCATTTTGGCTCAACGAAGTTATGGTTATTCTGATTCACCCAGGGGTTTTCTATGAAGAAAAGAGAAACAAAAAGGATTCATCTCTTCTCATTTTTCAACTGTTGTCGTAGCTTCTAGCTTACTAAGTGACTCTAAACAGGTATTTCAGAATGGCCCAGGCTGCGAATGGACACGAAGAATCAGTGTGGTGGCTCCTTCCAATCACCAATCAATATCACTACAAGTGCGGCCATCTTCGACAGTTCTTTGGGCCCAATAAACTTTCTTCACTACCGTGAAGCTTTGCGGGAGGCTGTCATCGAGAATGACGGGCACACAGGTATGTGGTGCGTCTGGTAGCTGACCTGCATGGATCACCAGAGGTTGTTTTAAACGACCGAAATTTTAGATCCGTCATCCGAACACTTAAGGTAGTGTGCGTTCAATATACGTCTCTACAGAATCGAACGCGACACAGAAATTAGTTGCCACTATAACTTTCAAAAATCGAACACGTTTAGCGAGTCATAACCAAACAACTCATCTTTTATGTTTACGGCGAATGAGCACGAAATGGATATACGGTACCAATTATATACTTATTGCAATTCAGTATACTTATTGCAATGAAAGTGTTGCGCTAGTGTCCGCACTGAATGGTTTGGTAGTTTTTGTGCAAGTTATAGCAACGCGGTCATGTCGATTGCGAAGCATTTGTTAGAACACTAACTGTACTTTGACCCCGCTTCTATCTATCTATCTATCTATCTATCTATCTATCTATCTATCTATCTATCTATCTATCTATCTATCTATCTATCTATCTATCTATCTATCTATCTATCTATCTATCTATCTATCTATCACGAGAGTGCCCAGCCGCCTAGGCCTGAGCCCTGAATTGGTCCTCTACATAACTTGACAAACCAAAATACGCACGCACGTCATGACGTTAGTATATTACGAATACCATCAAAAGGTCATGGCAAGAATAGATACATGTGGAGGTGCTTGACGAGTTCTTCGTGAAACTCACACTTTCAGTGAGGTGCTGTACGTACCCACATAAAAAGGCTCATGAAATGCGGGTATGAGTCGTAGGCGATTCACGCGGTCTGTTCAGTGCAAACCACGCTAATTTTAACGTAAGAGCGTTAAGGAACCTTGATCGCATATCTTGTAGCAGAGTGAGCATCGTTGAAAGTGAGCGAGAACTCCATTGAGTGCATTGAAAAAAAATTGCTTTGAATCAGAATAAAACCCATGCGTTCTGCGTGGCACTAGAGTGTTCTTCCAGACAGCAAAATTCGGTCCCTACAAAGACCACCTCTGTAAACGGACATCCCTGTTCAAGAAATGACCTCATCAAGTAAGCCAACACCGGTAACAGTCCAAAACCATCGGCTTCCTGAGCCGTTTCATGGTTACAAAAACGAAAATGCGGAAGACTGGCTAGAGCAGTTTGATTGGGTAGCAAAGTCTAACCAGTGGATTTCTGACGACGAGCAGCTACTCAACGTATACCTCGCGATTGAAACTACGCTAAAACGTGGTTTATAAACCGCAAGAGTACTTTGACAACGTGAGATGAGTTTCGCCGTCGGCTAGTTGATACCTTTGGGAGTGCAGACCAAACTGAAAACGCGCACCGCCTTCTTTAATCGCACATTCAACAATGAAATGAGGGAGTCGCGATGTTGGTTGAAGACAAGGCGCGTTTGTTTCACAGCGTGGATCCCAACATGCCTGAAGCTAAAAAGCTCAGCCATCTGATGCGCAGCGTCGAGGCAAAACTGTTCGCTGGCCTTGAGCGCAATCCTCCCACAACAGAAGACGAGTTTATTAGGGAGGCCACAGGAATCGAGTGGGCCTTGCAGCAGCCATACCAGAAATACAGTCGCCTCATCACCAGTGCCTCAATAGGTGCCACCACTATGGCCAGGTAATCCGATGAGAGCTGCCTACGCCAACTGGTTTGGCAGACTGTACGTAAGGAGATTGCCAAAGAGAACGCAAGGTACAAAGTATTGTCACAACCACCACCAAAGCCGGAGGTCAGTTGCCTCTGAAGTCGTGCGCCACGAACTCTGTCTGACAGGCGTTCGCTTCCCCCGAACCTCGTTCAGAAGTGTCCTACCAGCCAGTGGCATACAGTGATGCCAACGATGTTCATTTTCTGCTGAGCTATCCTACCAACCGAACGCATACAGCTATGCGGACGCAGATCGTCGTCCGTAATCCACGCCGGTGCCACAGTACCACCAACCACCCCCTATCGCAGCGTGGACCAGACGGGAATCTGTCAGGCGTGTGCAAGACCGATATATAGCAAACCGGAGATCGCCATTTTTTTCGCTAGAATTGTAGGGCGCCGAAACATATTCATCGTTATTGCCCGTATCGGCCAGCTGGATACTGTATCAGCTTGCCTGATACTACTCGCCGCCAATTCGACGAAAGCAGTGTTGCTTTTGAAGACGACCCTGCCGGCTGGCAACAAAGCTGCTCTAGCCTGCGAATGCGCGCACTATCGCCAGCCTGTTTTTCTTCCCGAAGCCACCGGAGTTTTGCTGACGTCGCCAGAGGTCGATCTCCAAGCCCACGACAGGGAAACTAAAATCAGCGCCCTCCAAGGGGGGGGGGGTAGCAGGTCCTCAAACTGCCGCAAATCTCCCTACATTGATGAAAGCAGATGTCACTGATGAAACAAATCACAAAGAGAGCACTGTGGCAGCCGACCTCACTGTGACGATTGAAGGGCAAGAAGTAACAGCCTTGGTTAATACTGGCATTCATTTTTCTAGTGTAAGTGAGCCACTAGCCAACAAACTCAAGAAAGTCAGAGCGGAATACAAGGGCCCTTAAATTCGAATGCTGGAGGCCAGCTGATGACCCTAACAGGCGAATGCACTGCGAGACTCACCAATGAGAATATGGTTTTTCTTGCCACATTTGTCCTTCCTACAGAGTGCTGCAAATCGCTAATTTTAGGAACACACTTCCTAATGTAGTACGGCACCATTGTCAACATGCGAGACAGTGTGGTGACATTTTCAGCTGACAATTACGCCACCCATGGCGCACAACAAAGACACAGGGTCGTACTTGTGATTAATGAGAACGTGTGTATACTGCTGCGACTATGCAGCCTTGTTTACTTTAGCTGCGGTAGGCAGTATAACGAAGACCCACTAGCCGAGCATGCAACTGCACTTCGCTGCCACAAGGGGACGCCATCGATCATGGTATCGTCACCACAGTCGATGGGCATGCAGAGGTGCTACTGACGTACTTCACAAATGAACGCCGACAGTTTGGTAAAGGCTTTGCTGCAGCATACCTCGAGGAGCTCGACAACAGTTAGGACTGTGCAAGACGAGGCGATTGCTCCTACACTACCCCAGACACCTACATTCGACATCAGACCAAGTTTAACGCTGACTGAAATATATTGTAATAAACATGTGAAAGGCAGAAAAGAGAAAGGAAGGAAGACGAAGAGGCTTGGCAAGATCGCAGTGGACTACGGCGAACGACCATCGCTTACCGCTTGTAAATTGAATTAAATTGAATTGACTTTACTTCTTCTGTTTAAAACAGAAAGGAAGCAGAAGCTAAAGGCCATGTGGCCTGACAAAGGCTTCTGCTCCTACGACAGTTAGTACATGCGTAAATCAATACGAAGTTTACTCTACACACATATTGCATTGAATAGTCAAGAAAATAAAAGAAAATGTGCTGAAAAAGAGGAAAAGCGACAATAAACACGTTATGTCTGCAAACAAACAATAACAAAAATGTTACATATTACACTGATTGGTAATATCATTTTGCCTAAGTTAACGACTGAAAATTGCAATTAAAACATGGAAATTGAAAATACACACAGTATACTTGTCAGACGAACTCAATATTTTGTGAAATGAGCAATGTTTTCAATTATTCACTTGACGCTTCCATATCTTCGTCGTGAAATTCATATATTTTATTAAGTAGTGAACGTGCTTGCTAAATCTTTAACTGTTTTCCCTGATTTGTTCCTATTTTTGGTGTTTTCAGATAGTGTTGCCTAATGTTGTAACGCGGGTTGGTGGGTGCATCCGGAATATAGTGTGTCCTCGTTTTGTTTTAAATATGACCATTTCATCACAACTCGCTGTAACAGTTGTGGTGGACGTGCTGGGTAATCAACACCCAAGGCGGAGGTTGACCCGCAAGCTCTTCAACGAAGCCGTCACCTAGCGGGACTTCCATCGAATCCATCTGGGCTGACATGTCCCACAACGCATATGAACATCCACCCCTCTTGACTTCAGCGCGAACCAGTCTGGCTCCACAACCAAGAGTTGCTCGTCCCTTCACTGGCAGACCAGATGAAGACGTCGAAGCTTGGCTCATCCATTACACACGAGTGAGCGCCGCCAACAAATGGGATGCCGCTTCTCAGCTTTCGTACGTCGCGTTCTTGCTGACGGATAGTACGCTGTTGTTGTACGAGATCCACGAGGAAACACTAACGACGTGGGACACATTCGTTTCTGAGATCAAAGAGCGTTTCGGTGACCCCAAAACGAAGAAGAAAAGAGCAGAACAGACGCTAATGCAACGTGTGCAACCGCCAGGCGAAACTTTCACGACCTACATTGAGGAAGTTATGAAGCTATGTAGCATCATTGACTCTGCAATGTCTCAAGAAGAAAAAGACAGGCACATCTTAAAAAGAGTCACCGAGGATGTTTACAGTTCTCTCATCGCGAAAGACACCCTAACATCTGTCACCGAGGTCATTCCTCGTTGCCGTACATTAGAGCAACTGAAATCTGTCACCGAGGTCATTTGTCATTGCCGCACTTTTAAGCAACTGAAATTCCTACGTGACACGGACTTGAACTAGCGACTGTAACAGCAATGCCAAGCACCGTGAAAGGCAAGACTGGACAATGACTGAGTGTGTGCGTGTGTGTTGCCGAATGTGCTGTGTTTATCTCTCTTCCCTCTCTGCTCTCTATCTTTCACCTCCCCCATCCCCCTCCCATGCGCAGGGTAGCAAACTGGCTTCCTATAGGCTGGTTAACCTCTCTGCCGTTCTTTTCCTTCTATTTTCCTTCCTTCCTTGAGCAACTGAAGACCAGGTGCATCACGCCGAAGTTTGGCAGGCTAGCGAATGTGACGACTATCGCAAGTATAGAGAACAACCGGCCGCTTGATGTTGTGTCAACGATCCGGAAAATAGCACGTGAGGAACTCGGCATGTACGCGCAAGTGGCGCACGACCCAAGCACTCATCTTTCCTACCTGCCACCAGAATACGAGCCAAACGTTGCTTCTGTATTCTCCTCG